TAGGACGAGGTTTTTTTTTTGCTCTTTGCTGGTCTCTTTTCACTGCCCTGATCTTCATCTGAGCCAGGATTATTTTGAAAATTGTGATGTGGAGGGCAGTTACTGTATTAGTACTTGTTCCACGTCCTTTTTAAATATTTTATTTAATTTTTAATTATGTGTGTATGTGTGTCTGTATGTATGTGTGTGAATGCAGGTACCTTTGGAGGCCAGAGGCATCAGATCCCTATGGAATGGGAGTTATGGGTGGTTGTGAGCTGATAATTGAACTTAGGTCCTCTGCTAGAGCAGTTGGTATTCTTAACCCCAGTCCTCCTTCCAACCCATGTTCCACATTCTTTGCATTTTTATCTAATAATTGAAAAGCCACATGCTATTTCATGTTCTTTTACTGAATGTCTGTCTGTAGATACTGCGGAAAAAGAAGCGAGAATAGGAGAGGAGAGGGCTGAGTCCCCAAGTTCTACATTGCAGTGGCTTTGATAGACTTATGATGGGACAGGGGACGGTTCTGTCATTTGCATCTTCTAGTCTTGGGAGGACTGATTCTCAAGAATGGACTTCTCACCTCCCTTGATGGTGAGGTAAGGTCTTGGGTCTCTGCATGTGGTCCTGGGTGCCCAGGCGCTGGTGTTGGACCTTTCCCATTCCTGGGCACCAAGAGGTTTTCTACCACTTTTCTATTACTCTTCTACAGCCACAGCGTGCCATATATGAAATTCTTGAAGAATTAATTAAAATATTACATTAAAAAAGAAAATACATATAGAACTATGTTCATAAATTTTGGAGTACTTTTGAACATTTGATGTTATCTTTTATGGGAAAATACTTCATTTTATATCAGTTGCTGAACTCATTCGGATGTTGATTTAACTAAAAAATTACAGGCTGTTTTAGAAGTTGCTTTATTTTCATAAACATCTCGCTACACATGGGACTCTTTAAATTTGCTTCATTCTGTAAGTGATGAGTTTCTTCGTCCAATGTAGAGAGATAAATCTGCTTAGTATTAGAGGCTTGATCTCCTCCCCATCCCCATCCTGGGGATTGGAACCAGGCCCTTGGCTGTGCATGTGTACTACCTCTGAGCTACATCTCTAGACTTAATATGTTCTTGAAATAAGATTAAATACTTGGAAAATACGTTAAATAAAATGTAGTGATATTTCTCTTAGCAGTTTCCCCATTTTTATGGTCAAGAATTCTTAAATTGTGCAAATATTATAAATATGAGAGCTCAATATTTATTTATAAACTTTCTATTTCTTATTTAGAGGATTAAAAAATAGTGGATACAACAAAATTTACAAAAATAAACCCCCTTTAAGGTAATGGAACAAGTAATTAAGTTTTCTAAGTGCCTTGAACACAGATACTTAAAATTAAATTCCTTTGGCAAGGCTGGTGTAGTGCCTGCTGGAGGTAGGTGTGACATGTGTGTAGCATTGTGTGCTGGCTATAATCTTAGCCTTGTCCTTCTGGAGTTTAGTGGTAAAGGCCAGGACATTCTGTGTGTAAGCAAGGCTCCTTGGGTAATGAGTGTGTGTCATTGATCAGCTAATGTATCATGCTGAAACAGGGACTGATGGCTGTCTTCATTGACTTTTCTGGGATGAAGGTCACCTTTCAGTACCATTAACATCAAGAGGTTTCTTAGAAAGCAGTGTCTTTTATTTTTATACAGTTGTTCCCTTTGTGTCTTGGGGTCTCTGATTTCCTTTATGGATTTGTAAACTTGCACTTTCCTGAAGCTGTGGCAATATTTAGCACGGGAATACCTTTTTAATTATAAAGTCTCCTTCCATAAGCTACCAAAGCACAAAGTTATCATAAATTTGATGTATTCATCAGCTTTCTGATATTTTAACCAAATACCTGAGTTTGTTAACTTATAAGAGAAAAAGTTTATGCAGGCCCACAGTTCTGAAGATTCTAGTCTATGACTGAGTAGGCCTGTAGCTTTGGACCTCTAGTTTACATACCAGATGATACTAGCAAGGAATTTGGGGTAGAGGCAAATGACTTACTTCATGGCTAGGAAGCCAAGGGAGGAAGAAGAGGAGAAAGACACAGAGGGTCCTGAGATCCCCTTTGAGGGCATGCCCCCTAATGACTTAAGCATCTACAACAATGTTCCACCAGCTGGAGGTCCACTTCTCCCAGTGCTGCTGATCTAGGAACCAAGCCTTTAGGATAAGGTCCTACAGGGCTGCCTTCTATACCCCAACAATAGCACTCGATGAATCATATCTCATGATCCCCTTAGAGCTTAGTAGGAAAGGCCTTCTCTGCATCTGGTGCATGCCCGGCATAACACACCAGCCTCCTCGCTACTTTTTTCCTCTAGGGTGGATACGGCCTGGCTGTGTGGATGTAGTGGATCAGGCATGCAGATGGACCCACAGCTTTCTGTAGTGTTCTAAATATAGACAGCTTTTCAAACTACTGAGAGATAGTTAACATACTTCTTAGTAGGCATTGAGCCAATCATGACTTTTTTGCTAGTTTTAGTAGAAAGTTGGAGAAAGGTTGAAGAGGATATAATTGAAAGCGATAAAAATAGTCTGTTATTTCCTGACGTTATGGTTTACACTGATAACGTCATTATGACAACAATGAGCTAAATACCAGATATTGGTTGAGAAGTTTTCATTTATCACCATCAGTACCTTTACAATGTAGTTAACTCTTACCTGTGTTTTACAGACTAGAACTGTGGAGCTAGGCAGCATGAAATCTTCAAGGTCATATAATGAGTAAACTGGAATGTTGTCTATTTGGTTCAAAGGCACTTTGCTTTTTTGTTGTGTGCCACATCATCTCCTACGTCCAAGTCAGTTATTCTGTTCATTTTGAAGACGTTTAGGGGCCTTTAGCTTTTTAAAATTTGTTGCTGCTTCAACAATGAATTTGCAATAAAAACTGAAGTTTATAATATTTTTAAGGTCCCTCTGATTTCTCTACTTGTAAAAATGTTTGTGTAGGGGGCTAGAGGGATGGCTTAGTTAAGAACACATAAGGCTCTTGTACAGGTCTCAAGTTCTGTCCAGCATCCATCTGTCAGGTAGCACAGTAGCCACCTGTAACTCCAGCTCCAGGGCATCTGATGACCTCTTCTGGTCTCTGCACCTATGCTCATATACACACAGTTCCCTGTTGTCATCGTCCCCTCCCCACACATATTCACATAATTAAAAAGAAAAAGTATTGAAAAATATTTATATAGACTAAAATTACTATGACTCATGTAAATGTTTTTTTCACATGGCTCTTTTCAGCTTATTGCATAAAGGAGTTACACTAGTCCAAGTTAAAAGCAGACCCCAAAGGATTACATTATACAAGGTTTTTAAACTTGTGACAAGGGACAGAAGGGAAATTCTACTTGTTGTAAGGAAATCCTCACTTAAGCTTCAGAGAGCCACAAGCACTTAAAACCCATGAACCTTCAGCTGATCATCTCTAGCCAGTCCAATCTCTATCAGGAACTGACATGTTTTTGCTCATCACCCTGTAGCTGAATTACTTCTCCATATTCTGGATGCTTTATTACAATACCATTGCAGGAAAATTTCTTCTTAAACGTCTTTACTCGTTTCTTTTTATTGTAATCATCATTGATCCCTTGGACAGTAGTAAGGGTCTTCCTGCCATTTCTCTGTTGAATTCTTATACAGATACAATCCTCAGTGCCAGCAGGAAGCAGGTCATTACCCTTACTTGCATCAGCAAAGTGGTTGAAAGAGTGGAGGTTCTGGATTGTGGATATATGATATACAATTCCATTGCCTCCATCTCTGTAGGATAAGAGGGGGATGGGAGATGGGGGGCAGGGAGGGGAATGGAGCCAGGAAGCAAGGGGGCTCGAGGAGGAGGCAGCTCAGTCCTTGGTGGTGGCTCAGTGACTGGGGCCACTCATGTAAATCTTAAAAAAAAATTTTTTTTTTTGTCTTTTTGAGACAGGGTCTCCCTGTAGCCTGAGCTGGTCTGGAACTCACTTTGTAGACCAGGCTGGCCTTGAACTCACAGAGATCCACCTGCCTCTGCTTCCAGGGCTTAAAGGTGTATACTACCACACCCAGCTAAAAGTTTTTTTAATGTAAGAAAGTGGGTTAGAGAACTGGCTAGGAACTTTATATTCCTCTTATGTTCTGGAAGGTGTAAGACTTGTATGAAAAGGGAGGTAGTTATGAAGTCTTCAGTTTTTATTGAATAACTTTTTTTTTTGGAAGATCTTGTTCTAGTTTCATTAACCTCTGGCTATGATAAAATATTCTGGGAAAAGCAACTTTAAGGGAGAAAGAGTTTATTTGGCTTACAATTCCAAGTTATACAGTCCATCACTGTGGGACAGACAGGAACTTGAAGCTTGAAGCAGTTATTCACATTGACAGTCGAGAGTCTAAATGCCTCTAGGACTGCTGCTTAGCTGACCTTCTCCATCTTATACAGCTCAGGATCCAAAGCCAGGGAGTGATGCCATCCACAGTGATACCATGTGTGGGTCTTCCCACCTCAGTTACCCAATCAAGACAGTCCCCCACAGACATGCCTACCTGCCAAACTGATCTAGACAGTCCCTCATTGAGACTCTGTTCCAGGTGATTCTAGATTGTGTTGACAATTAAAACTAACCATCACTCATGTTAACATTGTTATCATGTGTGAAATTTTACCTAAAATGCAACAAAAAATATTACACACCATATTTGTAAAGTCAGATCCTGATTCTACCCCACAATCCTGGATTTCATAGCTGATTGTGATCCATCTGGGTTTAGTGGGGACAGCTAGGCCTCTTGGGCGAGATGAGGAGCCTCGATCTGTGATAGGCATTGGTTGGCCCCATCCATGAATTCATTATTAGCTGTGCATCATTTTGCCTCATGAGCTGTATGATAGGTCTATTTTAAGCTCCTAGGATGGAGATGGTTTTATTTAGTGTACTTACTACCAATGCAATCACTCACTGTCCCCCTTTCTCTTCCCCCCTACAGATGAGCACAATGATGTTCAGAAGAAAACCTTTACCAAATGGATAAATGCTCGATTTTCAAAGGTAAGTGAGACTTGCAAGATGTTTATGGTGGTGTCCCTCTGATTTGTGCCCACTTAGCTAAAGAAGATGACTAGTTCATTTTGCCTAATTAAAACCATTGAAAACTCAGGCAGCCTTTCTGCAACAATGTTAGGGCTTTTTCATTCTAATGGATATGGCTAATATGTGTTATTCCTCCTCATTTTCCCTCAGACCACTTGGAACGTATCAGCACTATGCTCACTATTGCTTTTTAGGGCTTGGAGCATGGCGAAGTGCGGGATTGGTGTCCTTTTCAGACTGATTTCAAATGTGATTATCCATTGGTTATAGAAGGAAGGATTTTTGTCCACCAAGTCTAAGATGGGGACAAAATTTATCTTTCAAAATTTACTTTTTAAGAAAGTTGTGAAGGCTAGGAAAATAAACACCAATGCTTCTTTGAGGGAAAAATGAATCCAGTTTAAGGTTACCTTAAGTAGCAGCACAATTTAAAAGTTGCTCCACAGCCTATAAGTCAGGTGCAGTGGCATGTGTTACTTGGGAGACTGAGGCAGGAGGATCACTTGAACCCAGGATTTTAAGGTCAGCCTGGGTAGCATAGTGAGACCTAAATCCCTAAAAACAAAACAAAACAAAACAAAACAAAACAAAACAAAACAAAACAAAACAAAACAAAACAAAACAAAACAAAACAAAACAAAACAAAACAAAACAAAACAAAACAAAACAAAACAAAACAAAACAAAACAAAACAAAACAAAACAAGAAGGGAATAGGGGAGGGAGTATTTCCTCAGCTTCAGATTTTCACAGAAACCTTTTTCTTTATTGTATCTTCTGATATCTCTTGGAAGAGCTTTTCCTCTCCCTAAAAACAAAACAAAACAAAACAAAACAAAACAAAACAAAACAAAACAAAACAAAACCAAAACAAAACCAAACAACTCCAGAGCCTGATATTTATAGTTGATTCCTTGATTGCAGTGTTTCTTAAGTTTTACAACTTTTTGTTGAAGGATATTTTAATCTTGTCTCTGAGAATGTAAGAAATGTTAAAATGAACTTTGACAGAGGAGTTAAGAAGTAGGTAATAGGGGACCAGTAAGATGACTTTGTGTGTAAGGCCCTTACTGCCAAGCCTGATGACCTGAGTTCAATCCCTGGGACTCAGGATGGAAGAAGAGAATTAACTCCACAATGTTGTCTTCTGACCTCCACCTGTGCAGCCCCCACATAGACACAAAATAACTAAGTAACAGAATAGAGGTGCTTCCTAACTGGTGACTTTATCGGATTATTCTAAAGTGTAGGTAGGTGTTTTGATAAATTTTAAATTATTTTATTCTGTAGTTGCAAGTAACCTACAGTGAATTGAATTTGCTGGTATTGTCCATTTTGTACTGCATGTGACATATTTCTTGTAACAGTCTTAGTGACCCAGAGTCTACAGGCAGGAGGTGTTTCTTCCCAGTGGCCTCCTAAGAACAAGTGTGGGTGGGTTTTCCAGCTTGCTTATTATTAAGGATAATATAATCATGTTCTATGACAGAACAAGTATGGCAGGTGTAGTTTATTTTCAGAGTGTCATAGTCTTGGTAGAGCTGGGTTGAGGCAACATTTGAAACTGGGTGAACTGCTTTTCTACCTGCTGTTGAGAATGAAGAGGAGACTGATCAGTGAAACAGAAGACTATGTGTAGGACAGTAGAGAAGACAGTTGAGAAAGAGTAATGGAATTTTTTAGTGTTGATGTTGTAACTGACAGCTTCAGAAACCCAAATAACACACAATCTAGTAGTTACCTATAGTTTATTAAATGCAGTTACTTAAATATGTGCATTTATAACATGGTGCAGAAATCTCTGTACCCAGTGGAACCATGCTATTGTTTGTATTATTTTATAATGGCAAAGTGGGGTTTAATCCCATTTATTGGTCCTAGGATGCTTATAAGTCTTGCCAAGGGAGTAGAAAGGACTTGGCAGTTTTTAGCATGTTATTTAATGTCCTAGTTATGTAATCGTACACAGAGGCTATAAACCTTGTTTTGTTTGGAGAAAATGGATCAAGAGTGGGATGACCTTGGAAATTTTTCCTGCCAGAAAAATTTGCTTTTAGTAAGACATCAAAGCCTACAGGGAATTTATCTAAGAAATTATGAGGATGTGACTAGAATGAGGGAGAATTCCTGGGAGGTACAGGAACTTTACCCAAGTTTTCTTTCCCTCCTGTCTACTGTCTTCACTCTACAGGGGGTAGGAGAGGGTATAGCACAGTAAGAAATTTCCATGGATTCCCAGGCAGCTTAACTCTTAACTGGGCTGGGAAAGATTACATTCTTGTTTGGCCTCATTGGATATTCCTGGGGCTAGCCCCCTCCACCTCCCTCTCATACACACACAAATACAGAGTCCCGTTGAAGAAAATGAATTTTGTTTCAATTTTATTTTCCTTTTTATCCAGGTCCTTTGGCATATTTTTGCTGAACTTGTTTTGTTTTGTTTTGTTTTGATAGGGTCTCCCTAGTCCCAGCCTGCCTAAAACTCACTGTGTAGACCAGACCGCCCTTGATCTCATAGAGATCTGCCTGCCTCTGTCTTTGGAGGGCTGGGATTAAAGGCTTACAATATAATGTCTAGTGTATTTTGCTGAACTTTAAAATATAGGTATTTTATGGATCATCTGGCTCCCTTCAGTATGTGGCCCTGTGCTGAAGAACCCAAGTAGACACGACGTTTTTGCCATTTAGGAATTTAAAAAATATTTTATTCATTATTTTTTTTATTTATGTGTATGAGTATAATGCCTGTATGTATGTAAGTGCACCCATGTTGTGTTAATGCTTGTGGAGGCAGAAGAGGGCATTGGATCCCCTGGAACTGGAATTATGGACGGTTGTTAGCTGCCGTGTGGGTCCTGGGAATTGAACCCAGGTCCTCTGCAAGAGCAGCCAGTGCTGTTAACTGCTCAATAATCTCTCCAGCCCTAGGAATTAGAAAAGAATTTTTTTTAAGGAATTTGTTTTAAAACAGACGTCTTGCCAGACATTTCATTTCTGGTCTCTTCCCCATCCAGAGTGTCAGTCAAACACCATCTTGTTCATCCTAACATCTACACATATTGAAAAGTGTCTACCCTCCAACTTTACTCACACCTTCCTGTTTGGCTCAGACATGTGGATTATCTCTACCTTTTATTAATTCTTAATTTAATACCTGAATTTATTAGTTAGTTATTCATTTATTTTGAGACAGGGTCTCATGTATCTCAGGCTGGCCTCAAACTTGCTATTTAGCTGAGGGTGACCTTGAACTTTTGATTCTTTGCTACCACATCCAGTTTCTGAGGTGCTGAGGTGGGACCCAAAGCTTCATGTATGCTAGGTAGGCAGCCTACCAACCTAGCTACATCCTCAGCCCTACCTTTTGTTATTTTTAAGTTACTTTACAATTCTATAAATGGTAGAAAATAGTTAATACAAATTGCTCTTATCCATAAAGATGCAAATTAGTTGGGGAAAAATTGATTATTGCCCCATAGGCCACTTAATGCATCTTTCCAAATAGATTTCAATTTCCTTTTGCCTTTTTAAAATTTATGTGTGTATGTGTGTGTGTGTGTGTGTGTGTGTTTGTGTGTGTGTGTGTGTGTGTGTGTGTGTGTCTGTGTCTGTGTCTGTGTCTGTTTATATGCCACACATGGAGGTGCCTGTGGAGGCCAGAATGGGGCATGGGATTCCCTGGAGCTTGGGTTACAGGCAGTTGTGAACCACTAGATGTGGGTGCTGGAAACTAAACTTTGGGCCTCTGGAAGAGCAGCAAGCACTTTTAACTGCAGAACCATCTCTCTAGCCCTGTAATTTATTTTTTTCTGCATGTAAAACTATGGGTCTTTGAATTCTCCTTCAAATTGATTATAACATCTTGTGGGGACACAGTGGCACGGACATGTATTACCATGTCTAACATCATACGTATAGAAATCACCTCGAGACAATTGCATAGAAAGGAGTTAAGTTTAGATTTGAGTGCAAAACACTGTAGGTTCTGTTAGTTCATGAAAAGAGATACAGTGAGTTAAGACTTTTACTGTATTTACTTACAAAAAATAAAACTTAGGAGCTGGAGAGATGGCTTAGCAGTTAGAAGCACTTGTTGCTCTTGCAGGGGACCTGGGCTCAGCTCGCAGCACTCTTGTGATGGTCACAACCACCTGTAACTCTAGGTCCAGGGGATCTATGGGCACTAGGCACGTATATGGTATACATACATACATACACGTGGGCAAACACTCACACATTAAATAACAATAAATAAATCATTGTTAAAAAGCCCAGTTATGCCAGCTTTCTCTGTTTAATTCCTGAAAACTAGGCTAGAACAATTATTAAATAGCCGCCTGGAGCTTATGCATGTCATTCACTTTTTATTCCGTAGAATTCTTCACCAGAGCCCACCTACTAAATTCACAGTGAAAAAGTCTGAGATTTCAAACTTAAAACTTGTTAAAAGTTGTTTCCTTAATAAAAGATAAAGGAAAAAGACTTGATAATGTTGAATGATATAGGTCTAAACCCATCTTTTGCTAAAAGCTATGTCTGAATATATGGTAGTTAAAAATCACTCACTACAGGAGCTGGAGAGATGGCTCCATGGTTAAGAGCACTAGTTGCTTTTGCAGAGGACCCAGGTTCAATTTCCAGCACCCACATGGTGATTAAGAGCCGTCTGTAACTCCAGTTCCAGGGAATCTGATACCCTCTTCTGACCTCTGCAGGCACATTAAATAATACACATTAAATAATGCACATTAAAATAATGATTATAATTATAATAATAAGTCACTCACTAGAAGATATAGATCTGCATATAACCTGTAAATTATGTGTCTGTATATCTTCATAGGCAGAGATCTGCCTATATATCTGTGTTTCAGCTACAAGTCTTTGCTAGTATGTTACTGAGTTCACAATGCTTTAGAGAGTTTGAGTATTGTGAAAGGTAACACAGGGTAGAGTAAG